TTGTGTTGTACTAAGACGGTGGGCTTAGCATTGTATAATGTCCCAAGGGGTTTGATGGCTTGAAAACAAATGTAGTAAATTCATTATACGGCTAAAAAAAAATACCTGGCTATAGAAACAGTTTAATTTTCAAGGCTTCACATATTATTTATCCTGATCCACCCTCACTTTCCTTTTAAGCTTAGTGCTTTCACAAAGTGTATTAATTATATGGTTAGTGGTAACTACTAATAACCTTCTTGTTCACTATTCATCGCTAATAATTTACAAAAAATAGTGAATTAATAGTAACAATATTATTATGATATTTTAACTATTTAGTTATTATAATATTTTTATGACATATATCAAATCCCATTATCCCGAAAAAATAATTAAAGCATACATTTACGACAATAGATATATAAACAACTGCAATCCTATCCGCGTTTTCCCAACAAATGTAAACATAGTCGTTTTTCCCGCCAAATCCAAGCAAATATTTACCGACTCGGTATCACAAACCAACTTGAATAACTGATTACTCTACTGTATTTGGATTTCAGATATTGTATAAATCCCTCAGGTAATAAACTCTCTTTAATTGGTTTATAAATATTCAGAAAAAATATCACAAGATCACATTGGAGAATCTAAGAATCCTACTATAAGTTTCTGAGCGTTATAAATTAATTTACTTTTATGGTAAAAATAAATTTATTTGTCCCCCCACCATAAGAATATTTTTGAGCTTGCTAAGTTTTGAAACATTTACGCGTGTAAAGTTACTCATTATTCTAAAAATTGTTAAATATGAGTCCAGGACCTGACTAGTGTTCTGTGTGCATGTCGTGTATAGAGAATTTTGCTTTTGCATTTCAATATAGGTGTCTTAGGAAGTGTTTTCCACTCGGGTGTCAAGTTCGCACCTGGTACGTTTTCGAGCTATGACGTCATCAAAATGGCGGCCATTGATTTTTTAAATCGTATATTTCGCAAACTATTTGTCGGATCGGAATGAATTTTTTTTGTTTGAAAGATAATTTTAAATGCTACCTGTTTTACATTTACACATTTGTTGTATGTTTAGTACATTCTTCGTAATTTTGCAAAAACCTGTATTTTTAAATATTTTTGAGTTATTTTTGTTTGTAACGTTTTATTGATACAATTTATCAAAAACCACCAATGAAAAAAGTTGTAGAACATTTAAAAATCTTTACAAAAATACCAAATTCGATATGTTTTACTCAAAAGATTACGTCAAGAAACTAGATAAATCTCATAAAAACACCAATTTTGGCGCAAAAACGCCTATTAGTCCGGCATCTAGGGCAGTTCTCAAGTCTTATAAAGACAGTTTCACCATTCAAAGTTTATGTATGTGTTTAAATAAGTGTTTTCAACTCGGGTGTCACGTCTGCACCCACTGCAGTTTCCGGTTATGACGTCATTAAAATGGCGGAAAGGGCTATATTAAAAATAACTATATATTACATACCATGTATCGGATCGGAATGAACTTTTTTTTTGTTTGAAAGATAAGTTTACTTGCTATCTTTCTTACATTTGCACTTTTGTTTTATGTTTAGTACATTTTTCGTAATTTTGCAAAAACCTATATTTTTAAACATTTTTGTGTATTTTTGTCGATAACGTTTTATTGATTATTGATTATTGATTAATCTATTAAATTAACATTAAGTTAACAACTCAAACAATGTTGAGTACTTTGGATGTTGGATGTACTTTGGAGTAACTTGTTCACATGTTCACATGTTGTAACATGTGTTGGAGTTCACATGTTGGATGTACTTTGGAGTAACTTGGATGTTATTGTTCTTACATTAAGTTAACAACTCAAACAATGTTAATTTAATAGATTAATTGAAAATCAATCCAGGCAAATGGAAATTCGCTTAGTCGACAGGATTGCTGCACCGGGGGTATTTATATAGTGGAAACATTCCTATGGACTAATTACATTGATTTGTTGTGCTTTTATTTGCATAAAAGAGAGTAATGGTCTTATTTTAAGTAAAATAGCTGGTGAAATCGTAACATGTAGCAATTTTAAAGACATCATAACCGGAAACTGCAGTGGGTCCAGACGTGACACCCGAGTTAAAAACACTTCTTTAGACACATACATCAACATTGAATGGTAAAACTGTCTATATATGACTCGTACACAGCCATCGATGTCGGATTTATATGCGTTTTTGCGCAAAATTAGGTTGTTTTGTACGATTTTCTAGTTTCTTGACGTGATCTTTTGAGTAAAGCATATCGAATTTGGTATTTTTGTAAAGCTCTTTTAACGTGCTACAACTTTGTCTTTAAATTATTTCTGATATATTGTATCAATAAAACGTTATCGACAAAAATAACACAAAAATGTTTAAAAATATAGGTTTTTGCAAAATACGAAAAATGTACTAAACATAAAACAAAAGTGCAAATGTAAGAAAAATAGCATGTAAACTTATCTTTCAAACAAAAAAAGTTTATTCCGATCCGATACATGGTATGTAAAATATCGTTATTTTTAATATAGCCCTTTCCGCCATTTTGATGACGTCATAACCGGAAACTGCAGTGGGTGCAGACGTGACACCCGAGTTGAAAACACTTATTTAGACACATACATTAACATTGAATGGCGAAACTGTCTTTATAAGACTTGCGAACTGCCCTAGATGCCGGACTAATAGGCGTTTTTGCGCCAAAATTGGTGTTTTTATGAGATTTATCTAGTTTCTTGACGTAATCTTTTGAGTAAAGCATACCGAATTTGGTATTTTTGTAAAGATTTTTAAACGTTCTACAACTTTTTTCATTGGTGGTTTTTGATAAATTATATCAATAAAACGTTACAAACAAAAATAACTCAAAAATATTTAAAAATACAGGTTTTTGCAAAATTACGAAGAATGTACTAAACATACAACAAATGTGTAAATGTAAAACAGGTAGCATTTAAAATTATCTATCAAACAAAAAACAAATCATTCCGATCCGACAAATAGTTTGCGAAATATACGATTTAAAAAAATCAATGGCCGCCATTTTGATGACGTCATAGCTCGAAAACGTACCAGGTGCGAACTTGACACCCGAGTGGAAAACACTTCCTAAGACACCTATATTGAAATGCAAAAGCAAAATTCTCTATACACGACATGCACACAGAACCCTAGTCAGGTCCTGGACTAAATCCAATTTAAACAAGTTTTATATTCATTTTATAAGATTTTGATTATTTGTCCAGACAGAATATAAATAAGGTAACGTAATTTTTTTTGAAAGCAGATTTTTATTAAATTTAATTTTATTTATATTCCTTGTATGAAATTGTCCCATTTTAGTGTTTGACTTAAGGAATGGTTAAAATCAGAGTTCGCTCTCTCTTCTCTAGCCAAAATGGTAGCCCGTTAAAAGCTTAATAATGTCTACTCTTACATGTAACCTTCTTGTGGAAAAATATATCTATCCCTCACCTCGAATTTGTTCTCAGGAAAATATTACAGAGTTATCCGTTGGGTGGTCATGACCCTTGATAAGAAGGGTTGATTAAAAAAAAGAATGCTGAAAACCAGAGCTAGCTATCTCATCCTTATCCAAAATGGTAGCCAATATTATCATTAGATAGATTTTTCTTATCTTTAAATGTGTAGACTTTAATACATTTGACTGGCTACCATTTTGGATAGAAAAGAGATAGCGAACTCTGGTTTTCACAATTCTTTAAGGTTTTTGTAAATACCTTCAAATGAAGTGTCACTTGAAGTGTGTTGACGCTAAAAAACTTTAACTTGCCCCCAAAATCCCACATTTTTGGGGGACACTCAATTTTTTATCATAAAATGAAACTTCCTGCTTAGATTGCACAATCACCCATAGGATATCTCAGTAAATAACACAGGAACATATTAAAAGGAGGGTCTTGACATTTGATTCAACCTTTATAATAAACTAACTATCATATAGTATTTTTCAAACCTGCTAATTTTGGACAAATAAATGCCCAACTGTTGAAAGACAACAATTTACCCGATTATTATTCTTTTTGCACCCTGAAATACTTCCTACACGTTACTTGAATTCCTATAGGTTGTTTCCTATTTTGGTTTATGTATTCATAACTATGCATTTTTATCAACCAAAGAATCGCCAAATTCTTATTCAAGTAATTAATTAAGTTTGTATTTACTTAATATCTCAGGCTAGATAAAGGAGGTGTACAAAATGAAAATAAAATAATAATTAATTCTAATTTTTTTGCTCATATTATGATGGCAATGAGTGAAAGCCATTTTCAGAAATATATTAACTTGACCATACCTAAAAACAAAAACTATTTAGAATTCGTATTTCAATTTTCATTTTAGAGTTGCAATTACAATGTAGTAGGATTTCCAAAGCGTTAAACGTTTGAACCTAGATTTATATCCTTATATTATATAGAAAGGGAGAAGGTAAAATACAAAATACTTTCTTAGTATTCATTTAATTTTCAGGCTAATAGCTAACAAACAAGGGTAAATAAATTAATCTAAAAGGCAATAAAAATATAAAGCTTATATTCATACAGAACAATAACAGATAACAAATAAAATTTACAATAGCAGTGTAGTTCTTATATACAAGGGGTTGTCAATCGTTGTAAATGGTGACTATTTTTATAATTTAAGGTAACCATTCTCATACATGAAATGACAATTTGATGTCATAAATTCATGATTACGGTATTGCACCTACCATTGTTCATATGGATTCGTTCTTTAATAAATAACCATATTAGGATATAAAATTTAAAAAATACATAATTTTTGTTAAAATACATATTACTCAACGCTTATCTCTGTGAAAATTTAAATTAAATGATGTACACTTTTTTATGTTATTAACAATTTACATAATTTACTGTTTTTGACTAACCAAACAATAATTAATATACAAATAATAACAATAATTTACAATGCTCGTGACATCTTAGCTGTCACTTGGCCGATCGCTACTAGTACCTATTTCAAAAACATTATGTCCCGTTATGCGCGTTGCATCAACTGTCCTCGCGACCCATCTGAAAGCGCTCAAGTACATAATACAAGGGGAGTCAACCCCGTGAGGCAGATGAAATGTTTGCAGTCCGGTCTTTTCCCTACGTCCTCCCTCCTCCCGCCAAGTGCCAGCTTAGGAGTCACGAGCTGCAAGTGATCGTGACACTTTAAAAGATCTCTATATTAATTATTTTACTTTGCGTTTTAGAGGAGTACAATTTAAAAAGAATATTACCTATAATTATGAAAATAACCCCATTACAACGACATATTTCTATTCAGTGACGTGCTTTTATACAACTTAAAATAATATTGAGCATATTATTTCGATCGTTGATGAACGAAGCACAGGAATATTTACAAACTTTAAAACACCCTGTAGAAATATTTTGATAAGTTTTCGATACATTTAATAATCCACATTGTATAGGTTTATCTTTATCTAAAACTACGTCACATGTAAAATAAAGTAGACTATTTCAACCTGGTATAAACTTGAATTTAACATAAATGTTAACATACTTTTCCGAAGAATCTAATTATAAGGGGGAATTTCTTTAGGGTTTTTGTTTAAGACTGAAACCAAGTTAAATAGACCATGAAAATAACAGTGTATGACAGCATACGTCTTATATTTGTGAGTAGTATAAAATATTACTCGTACTTTATATGTATATATAATAATACATTTACAGAACGATGATTTATACAGGTTTTCATACATGTTTTATTACATTTTTAAAAGTTGATAAACGTTGTTTACAAAATGTCAAGCAGTCTTATACAAATTTAATTTCACAATAAAAAAGAACGCTTCATATTCTACATACTGGCCTCTTTATGGCAAAATGAATCAATATCTACTTATAAGAGTTGATGTTTGTGATATTTATCCTCCATTTATTCTTCAAACAATTAAACTAAACCATCATGAACATAAACCTACGTTGGTTCTATTGTTTGCCGATTATAATTAGCATTTTGATTGTATCTAAACGCAAGAAATTTTAAACCACATTACAATTTTATTAAAATTGAAACAGTCTAAAAATAATCATCATAATATACACGCAATACTCCCAACTTGCAACCTTTAAGTTATCACAGATGACCACATGTAATTTCTAAACAGTTTGAATATGAAAATAACAACCTCCATTAGTAGTGAGAACATGGCTGTTTCGGAACAACCACGTCACGTATAGCCATAAGTAGTGGGCAAATGTCTGTTCTGGGATGGTTCCTATGACGTTTATGTTTGTTTCGTAGCTCGATTCACCATCACATAACGCACTACAGGTCGTTGCTTGTTGTTATAAGGACACAGGGTCTGCTTGATAACGACGACGACGAGGCTACCAGTGATGCTATTAGCAGCAGAAGAGAAGGACAGTGAAGCCAGGAGAGGCCTCGACCACCCGTCTGCATTGCTGCAGGGTTCTCCCCTGAAAAAGTTATAGGAAAATTGTGTAATGTAGGTTAATATTAATTGCAGTGAGTACATTTCATTTTTAATTAATTATGGTTAGTGCGTTTTTTAATTGTAACTCTTATTGTAACTCTCTTCATAAATATGTAATTCTCATGGAGATTCAATGAACTGTTGCTTTTTACTTGTTTGGACTTATAATTAAATCAAAGTTATCTTTACCTTTGCCGTATCAGTTAAACTATATATTCATTAAAAATAATGTTATTTAAATATAAATTAAATCGCAAAATGCATATATTTTAGATCTCGCAGGAATATATAAGTTAAAATACGATCAGATTAGTAGAAATTCGCTTTATAGGTATAAAGCGGCAATAATAATACATTGTATACATTGTAAATAGTCGTTGTTTAAGTAATAAAAACAATTATATTGCCTTTACAATACTTTTAGTTATAGCTTGTCATCCCTGAATAGGCTTTATAGTATAGGCTGAGTAGGCTGAATAGTACTAGACTTTTTAGAAAACAAACTCCTCTGCTCTTTAAACTGAATTGAATTTAGTTTTTTCTAAATTGACGTTTAAACATTGTTTTATAATATGTTTTTATAACTGATAGTTAAGTAAAGTTTAAATAAATAAATACAATTTATTATTTATTTTTATAAATCTAACACATTACGAAAAATACTACCTTTTACAAATTAAAATATTTTTGTTAACCTTAAAGATTAATTTATTGTCATGTTCTGGAAAGGCAACTCAATCTGCACCTTATGTATTACTTAAGATGTTTTTTTATTTATCTCAAAGATAATAGAGATAAGGTACAGAGGAAACAAGTTTATGTGACAATTATGTGCTTTCAGGCACGCTGTGCTAGAAATATACTTGTGAAAATACACTTGATGAGTAAGGCATTCATATCGCACAGATTACAGGATGTTCCTCTTAAGAATTGCTGTGTGCCTACTACTTCGGTAGTGCTAGACACCACTTAAGAGTCCTTGGAGGCTATAGGTCATCCTGGATAATATAAACAGTTTCTGAGGAGTTTATTAACATCCAAAAATATTTTTCAAACTTTAAAGTGATTATAATTTAAATATCTAAGAAACTGTGGGATTACAAATTGTCTTTGGGGCTCTAAATAGTTCTTCTATTTAGTCAATTGAAGCCAACAACCATCTTGGATTTACCCAATTTACCATCTCAAATTATTTATTCAAACACCGAAGTGATTAGTATTTAAATATCTAGTATACTTTGATATAAGAAACTTCTTTGTAGTTTTTTTGTTTGTTTTATGAGTGAGAATGCTACAAGGAATCTTAAGTGTACGTTTCGTCTGTACCTTACTTCTTTGTACGATTTTCATACCACATACCATTGAGTATGTGCACGACCGTGCTAGCAGGCTGGGCGTTGTTGGGGACACAGGAATAGTTCCCTGAGTGGTCCCTGGCTGCCTGCTGTATCACCAGCTGACTACTCTTGGCAGCCAGCTCTGACGTCACGTTGATGCCACGGTCATCGTCGTAGTTGACCATCCGGTTGTTGTGATACCAGAAGACATAGACTGGAGGCTCCGGTGACTGTCGAAGCGTGCAGACTAGTCTTAGGAGTGAACCAAGCTTGAGGTACTTCTCTGACGGTCCAGAGATCTCAGCTCGGGCCTCTATAAACATACGATACATTGCGATTATATATTGTTATTTTATTAAAGTTAAAGATAATACCAAATTCTTTATTACAAACAGCCTATTTGTCTAGGAGATCTTTTTGCGAAGTATGTTTCTTATGTGGCTTTTTATTCTTTCAGTTATACGTACATAGACATTAATTAGAAACAAAGTGTTAGAAGAATTATATTATTATAAAAAAATTTTCCACTTGTATGTTTATGTCAAGAACTTTGGTGAGCTTACTAACAGAATTGATGTCCATCACCACGTTACACGTAGCTGAGTGATTGTAACGTATCACCCAAGTGTATCAGGCAGGTACCACCTAACAAGCACTCAACGCCGTTTCCCAGCACTGGCATATAACCTGTTGAATAATTGGCTGAGATCTTAAACAAATTTGGGAGGCTCATGACAAACCCACTTATCTAGTTGGCCAATCTTTCCATCAAGGAGTTCCTGGAGCATAATTTTGCAGGTTATTGGCTCTCCTTACTCTCCACCTGCCAATATATGAGTGTACTTATTTCGTATGTATTTAATAACCTTGCAATATTGGTAAAATATTTTACTATATTATTTTAAAATTGTACATTTCTCATTTTTAAAAACGGGCGCAGTTGAACCAATGAACATGGTCAAAAACGAAGATATGGCATAAAGGTATTTTGCTGAAGTTTCGGTACCGACACAGAGTGTTTTCCTCGGTGTGTCTTTATATCCAAACATTTAATAAATCCATCATTTAAGAAACAGAAAAAAAAATACTCAAAATATTATTATAGAAGAATGTTAATATAAAATCCGTGGTGTATTTTGATCACTTACCCACAACTTTAAGTTCTATAAAAATACTGATTGGAGGATGTGAGGACACTTGACATTCGTAAAGACCAGCATCTCGCTGCTGTACAAATTTAATTTGTAACGTCCAGTCCTGTAACATACAATAGCACAATTCAAACTAAGGACAATGCGTTATATTTAAGTAAAGAGAAGGTAGGTAGGTAGACATGAATATATTTACATAATTGTCTCTGTACTGCAGAAGCTTATTAAAAAGTTTGTTATAATTTATAAATATATATAAAAAACTATTTACAATAGATTGGACTTAAACTAGACCTTAATTTTTTAAGTAAGGGGAATGATTACTACTATATCATTATAAAAACGAAACGGATGAAGGTTGTTGATATAGTAATTATAAGTATTACAAATAGCCATTGAACATATAAAATACTAACTGTTCCAACATTTAACCATTTCCAAACACACATTTTGCAATCAGGAAACAATCTAGGTTTGGCATTTGACTAATGATAATTGAACACTTGAAACTGTTGAGGACATAAGCAGGGCTATCGTTGAATAGCATACGTCGAGTGATGGTGAAGTGATCTGTCCCATAGTAATATGAATGCTTCATCAACGTGAAATATCACTGTTGCAATATCAAATATTTTAAAATATCAATAATTAGTAATAAATCATTTAAATCAAATATATCCTTATAACATTCAGTTTTTAATACAAGTAATAGGGAAAATTAGTGTATATTTCAGTACCACGTGTTTTAAATTACGTATTTTAGGAAGTTTGTGAAGAATAGAAAACTAGTTTTCTCATAATTTTACTTTTACATAAATATATATGTAAATATATATATATTACTGTTCGCATTATAATTTTTATCTAAACATATATTTTTTAGATATACTACAACTTGGAACATAATTTTATTTGTGAAACATCATACTTCAGAATTCATAAAAGTTATACGATAATTAATTCTAAAACTATCAGCCAGTAATAGCAGTTTCGGAAATGGATATTGTTTTAAAGTGTATTATTTACTCTTTAGATAATATGAAAACAGTCAGTTATTGTAGATTATTGTTTCTTGGCTTTGACCTTTTTATTTTATGGAGCCGAATGTAAATTAAAATTAATATTAGTACTTTTACTAATGTAAGTATGAAATCGTTGATTACTCTTTGAGGTAAATGACATTAGAGTCATTTATCTGATTGCGATTAGAGTAATTAAAAGGGAAGTAGTAAAAGGGACTCTCTGGAATTCGCTCACGCTCCACGTGTTGTTCCATTTGACTGATGATAGGTATATCCCCTATTTCCCTCCTACATGTAAAATAATATCCTAAATACCCTACAATTGTGCCCGTACAAAAACCTAGGAATATTATATACAGGGTGTTTCCAAATTGGCTGGACGTATTTTGTGGAGTTGTTCCTTAGGCTAAGACAAACATTAAATGCCTTATAAGTATGGGTCTAAAATGCCTAGATTTCTGTTTGTCGGTCTGTTTGTGATTTTTAAGATTTTTTTTTAAATATAATGCCAAATTTCATGAAAACCGTAAATATTGAGAACATTTTTTTCAGATGAACAAGATAGAGAATCTAAATCCAAATCAAATGAGACCTTGTTTGTTAAAACCGGATGATAAACGACCGATTTATCAGTTGTTTTTCTATATTCGGTTAAGCAATTTAATAGGACTTCCATATTGTTTATTATTTTTTTTTTTTTACAGACCAGTATGGTAGTCATATTCAATTGATTAACCGAATGTTGAAAAAAAACTTATAACTCAGTCGAAGGTCTTATTTAATTTGGATTTAAATTCTCTATCTTTTTGATCTGAAAAACAGTTTTCTTAATATTTACGGTTTACATGAAATTTGGCTTTAAAGAATTTAAATGACCGCCATATTGAAACGGCTTGAGATATTAGAACGAAACTTTGTAAGATCTTTTTACCTACTAAAATGCACATTTGTACCAATTTTGAAATTACTATCTTGAAAAATGCCCAAGATACAAAAAAATAGTAAAAATTACAAAAATACAGACACACAGAAATCTAGGCATTTTAGACCCATACTTAGCCTATATGGCATTTTATGTTTGTCTTAGCTTAAGGAAAAAGTCCACAAAATATGTCCAGACAATCTGGAAACACCCTGTATAGGGCCTACCTAATTTATTTTTCGATAGATTTGACATTAGTTGCAGTAGTTCAAGGACCGAACTAATATGGTGACCTTGTTCAAATCAAATTTTAAAACAGTAGTAAACAAATGATAGTCTTTTGCCCATTTATAAACTATATTTTTTGTCACATTGAACCCTAATTTTAACAAATTACCTTAGAAACTATTTTTAGTTCAATAAAAAAACTAGCAAAAAAATGAACATAAAATTTATTCTTCCAGGGTATAGTTATCCTTGTTTCATATTATACATTTTAGAATAAAAGGTTTTGAAACGGTAATGGCTCATATTAAAATTTCTATGGTAACAACAAAAGTTTTAGGTGGTAAATAATTAGTAAAAATGCTAATAGCCTAGTTATAAATAACGAGTTTCATTTCGCATTTATTACATTGATATGTAACATGAAACTGTTGATAAATGTGAACTCTTACAATGGAGGTTTACAAGTTTGCAAAATGTACAGCTGATTTGTTTCTCTAGGGAGAAAACGAGCTACTTTTTACTTACATAGACCTCAGCTTATGTATTAAAACGGCTGGTATTGCTGCAGTATCACGAAATATTTATTTTAAATGGTGTTTTTTGTTTTATTTTGATACGAAAATTAAGTGAAATTAAAAATGTATGCTTGTTTAATTTAAATAATTAACCTGTTTCTGTAGCTTTAGTTTTTGTTTTTTCTTCAACGGTTTGTTTAGGTATGGAGCAAACATTTACAATACTTTTACAATTAATTTTCAAAAAAAAATTTCTAAAAATATTTTCTATAGTTTGAAATTGTTTCTAAATAAGGGTTTGCATTGTAATTATTGAGTAACCAAAATGTGATTTTTATGTTTTTATTAGAAAGTAAATTTAGCTGTATATATATTATTTTATAATTTTGATGAGGTCTACGCAATTTTTTACCTTGCGTTTGCCCGTCCACATGGGTCTTGCTTGAACGTGGACGGCAAAGCAAGGACTGAGCCAGTACAGTACAAGGGTGAACTGTACTAGTATAAATTTGTGGCAGGTAGCGTGATACGAACCCACGACATTGCTGCCTTGGACCCTATTTCTGAGGTGCTACCGACTGAGCCACCAGCTTCATACTATCCATATAATATTTGGTATCCATATAATATTTGGGATTCATATTTGGTATGATATTTGGTATCCATAATGATATTTATAGTTTACTACAAACTAACCTCGGAGTTCTGGACGTGTATAGCCTGGTACCTCTCGTCACCCGTGTAGGTAGTCAGGCCAACTGTCAGAAGATGATAGTCTTTCCTCCTGATCCAGGAAACCTAAACAGAAGAAATATTTGTATCAAGAGCACATAAGTTGTAATTGATGTGGTATAAGGAATTTCATATGTAATGGGTATCAGGATTTGATAGATTGGCTTAGTGTGTAGTTAAAAAGTGAATATTAAAACAGTTATGACCTATACTGTAGTTAAACAGACGTAAGAATAGAGTGATTAGTCAGTTATAATATAAATATTTTGTAAGTTTTGGCCCACTCAGTTTAGTAAAATTATTGTTGATATTTTGATGATAATTTACTTAAACGCATAATCAATTCCTATTGCCTTAGTGGGCAAAACAGAAAGATAAATTTATGATTGTAAATAAGGAGGGATAAAACCATATAAAATAATTTTTGCTGGCTATACAAGTAGAATTAAAAGGAATAAATATGAATTTATAGTTAACATATCTAAATGTTAGCAGTGCCATTGTATGTTCTTGGACTAAAAGCTGTACCAAATGTTGTTGAGTCCTCAGGCAACTGTTTGTACTACGTTATGTTTTTCTTAGTTTATCGTTTGATTATGGAGATTTAAGGTCCTAATCCATTGTAAATGCACACTTTTATAGTGTGCAGCGAGACAGTTTTAACATCATAGACGAATGCCAATGTTTGTTGATAAGATTTACCCATTTTCAACTATATTTGAATCTTAGAACAACATACTTAAACTAACAATACTAACCATTCCATCTCCAATGTTGTGGACCTGGCAGGGTACCAGGGCAGTACTGCCTGTCTGTGCGGTGATTACACTAGAGTTCTCTGTGAGAAACCTGGGAGGAGCTACAGGAGGGAAGGAGGCCTCGAGCTCGTTCAGTGACGGAACTATTTCCGTAGAGTCAGCAGAGTGGCCCATGATGGCTGAAACAGTAAGAATCTGTTATTGTGACTAGCTTATGAAATTTGTATAAAACATCATAATATAAATATAAATGTCACAAGCGTGATAAATGTCTACAAAAAATGATGATAATTATTTCATGTCTGCCTTAATTTTAATTCAGGACATGTTGCAGTGTTAAAACACCATCATCAACTTCAAGTACATATGTAGAGTTGATCAGTAGTCAACATCGCCAGAAGATAAACACATTACGAACGGATGTACCTGAGCGGTCGGTCATCTTTTAATAGAACAGGCCTGTTTCTTAAATGTGTAATTGTTTTATGTATTTATTCGTATTCGTACTGTGTTTATCTTCTGACGATGTTGACTAAAAATCAACTTCACATATGTACCTGAAGCTGATGATGGTGTTTTAACATCGAAATATGTCCTGAATTAACATATTTTATTGAGCTGTGAAGGGATTACGTAAGTAATTTAGTTTTACACTATGTCCAACAGCCAGGGGCTACACACATGGATTTTAATCGTCTTAATTTAATCTAAAGAATTTACTTATTCACAAAAATAACTTTTCAGGTAATTGTCAAAATTAAACATCATTTCAACATGTCTTCGTATATAATATTTGTATTTCCAAGTATAATATTTTTATCATATAATTTTACGAAATATGTTACATTAACTCAGATGATAATCGTTTTCCGATCGACTATTTCATTGAATTCATGGTCTTCTACGGGTAAGAGCCATGTCAAATTGGTAGTTACACTATGCACAAGATCACACGTTCCACCAAAACTGTGACGTGAAATCCTCAGGGGTGAAGCTGAAACGGTGACTTTTGTGTTGTGGTCTTAGTTTGACCCTTTATCAGCTTGTACGGTCTAAATAGGTCAATACACACCAGTCTCAGTTTTTCTACTGATGGTATTAACATAATAGAATGGGTGAAATGGTTTTTTTGCACATTTAAATACCGATTTGTAACGGCTTTGATCGGAATATTGAGAATTTAGTAAGGACGTTAGCCGCCTACGAATAAACATTGTTTTACTATTCTAATAATGTTTAAGTTATCAACCACAATGTAAGTGGTAAAACCTATTTACTATCAGAACAGTTGTGGACCAATGCGATTTATTTTAGCTGAATACCAAATAAAGTGAGACCGATAGTTAGTTATTGATTAAATTTGTTTGATACTAAAAATGTAATATTTTGCAATATGGCAGTGGTTTTATTTGTTGGTCATAGCCACATATAAACAGTAGTGTATAGTAACGTAGCATTGTTTTGACCCATATAAATAGTGCTTCTCTAATGGCACTTATTGATCATACATTGATTTTAGGCGACAATAAAAAAAAAAAAAAAAAAAAAAAAACAATCTCGTTGTGCCAGAGAAGAGATATACAATTGTTCGAAAATAAAAGTTATCACTAGGTGTTTTTTCGACAAAGTAAAAATCCAATTTTCCTCCATACAAATATTAAATTAGCCTAAATTAGTTTGACAAACAGTTTTTTAACAAAGAAATTATGTATATTAAAAGCGTGCAAGCAATATTTTTCTGCCTGTAATGGGAATCTAACTAGGTAACATAGATTTTAATTAATAAATTTCTGGAAACTGTTCACTGGTAAATTAAAGATACTTACTAAAGTTTTAGGAGAACAATTTGCATAATAAGTTAATGTATATACTATAAAATTAACTCCGTAATACATATCACTTGCTTATGATAATTATATATTTTATTTGGTGCATCTAAATGTCGAAGAAGAACAAATAACTTAATAAAGTGTATGAGTAAATCCTATAAAAATGTCTAGTCCTATACTTATAAAGTAACATAGAATAGTTGTATGTTACTTTATACACCCCTTCCACAGAAGACTGGCAGACAAAACGAATTACTCTTTGTGTGATTGATTTTAGCAGATTTCTCACATAAGGAATAATCTATCATCGTAGGTGTAATCGTAGGAAATTTACCCGGACGGCTTCCCCTTTCCGTGTTGATGCCCCCAGAGGTAAAAAAGCCATTCGTTAAAACTCATATATACATACATATATATTATATAAGTGAATATATTATTATCAATGGTATAAGTAAATATACATATATATTTCTATAAATGCTTCTTTTGACAATCGAAATTAAAAAGTCAATCGTACCCAGGTATATGTGTTGTCATGCTACACTTATTTTTTGTTTCGAATAAAATGTTTACGTACATTTTTCTAACACGAAATGAGTTGTTATTTTTTAGCTCTTCAAAGATCAATAGTTCGTATTGTATACATAATAAAAAATCTGTGAATACAAAAAGTGTGACAGCACCAAGTTTAAAATTAAATTTCAAAAACAATATAACATTATTGGATAAAACAAAAACGTCATAAACACATTTAAAACTAACTATAATTACTCTTACTTTTAAATATATTAAACTAATAATTGTACAAGTTAACTAAACCAACCAGTATCATTCGATACTATAAAAAAACATTATCAAACGATAAAAAAGTAATCCGACATTTAAAGGATTTATGTCCCGAGTTAAAGGCACACATGTCGTTAAAACGCAGTGACCGCGAAATGCCAGTGAACCGTTTAACTGTTTGGTGCTGCGAAGTGAGCAATCCTACCGTAAACCAGGGTTTAATGTTCAATGCTGCGGAGTCCGCTTACACGAGCATTCGATAAAATGGCTACCGATTGTTTGTGTACACAGTCGTAAATTATACAATGCGTTAATTATTCGGTTTGAACTGTATTTCCATGTGTATTGGCAAGACGAGTATGGTTCGAAAACAGTGTCTTATTGTTATAAATCTCAAAAAGGACAAACCTACAAAACTTTGGGTTCATTTTCTACCTCGAAGGCCTGCGTAAAGTGGGTATCAAAGGGTATCAATCAATCAATCAATCAATCAATCAATCAATCAATCAATCAATAAAATCTTAATTCAGAACGTACAGATACATCGTACATGAATGCGTAATTACGTTTTTATTTATAAAATAAGCATATTATTTAAAGTAAAAAATATATACAACAGCAGATTTACATAAAATAAATACATTACTTAAAGTTAAAAAATTCGTCCTGACTGTAAAACGAATTTGCTATTAAGAATGTTTAAAGTTTTTTTTTTTTTTTTTTTTTTTTGTACTCTGCTCCTTCCTTATGGCATCTGGGGGTTGATGGTTCTGTGTAGAGTGGTTCGGTATTTTTATGTTTCTTTAGCATCCGAAGGATAAAACTACTAGAGCAATCTTCGGATATAAATAAACCTAATTCTTATGGCCTCAGGTATAAGCTGTGAGATATTAATAAACTGCACCTTTTATATTGGCGTTAATGGATTTCAATAAACTTACAGAGGACCCTTACAATTACCTTAGAATTTTGTATACATTAAAACATATGATTTTAAATTAAGAGTATTGCTGAACTATATGAAAGCTCAAAAGATAAAAAACTAAATATTACACTTATAATCTACTAATCTTTTTATTTGCACCTAAATAGTCTATGTAATTTTTAGTAACACGCTAAAGTAAAGAATTTTTTGTCAATTTCTTTCTTATTTTTCGTTATTATAATTTTTATAATTAAGACAATGTGGATATCAAAACTATAAGTGCAAAGTGAACTATTAAACTATAGAACTATAGGCAAAGTGTACATCCAGTTGCATTAAAGTACAATTGTCTATGATAATCGAATAAGCCATGTCTATAAATAGCAAATGTTTATGTCAAACTCCAAGATAATTATTTTATAGACAACAAAATGTTTGTGAATTATATTTAATGATAACATAAAAATTCCATTCTTATAGTCTTATATTCTCAATAGTCATAATTATAATGATTATTCTATGTGCCAGTTGCAATAAGAGAAGAGTTGATAAAGAAGAGGTCTTAAAATAGCAGTTCGGAAGACTCTGCATTAGTCATATTTTATAAGAGCTGCGAAGAAACCCATTATAACTGAGAAGGCAGGCGGGGAACACAAATGAAGCTTCGTCTCAACTGCCGCCATTACCTCGGTGTCGTCTGCTACCCCTCCCGCCAAAACTGAGATAACGGAAGGTTTTAAAACTTGTATGTAAATAAATATTTTCGTACATTGCTTTCTTTTGTAAAACCTCCATATCAAGTCGGTAATTTTTTACTTAAGCATGATAATGTATTTGTGTTTATATGAAAATTTACACATCGTTGTTCACACACACAAACAAACATTGAATAGATTTCCTACATTATTTTTCTTTTATGTCACCTTCATTAAAAACATTTATTAGTTTGAAAAAGTTAAACTAATTACAAAAATGCTTATTAAATGACCTTCCTACGCAAAAATCATCTCTGTAACCAATGAATTGGCTCAGCCGTCATAAAACAAAATGTTTGTGGTAATTGTGGACCTGTTATTGGCATGGAATTATAATTGGATTTTATCAAATCACTTGTATATAGGTTTTTTGTAATGAGTTAGAGTTTGGGATGGTAAAACATATTGTAAATATCTAAATCATGTATTTTGAGTCAGCAATTCACACAATGAATAGTTTGTTGTGATGTTCATGTCAAGAATAAATTAATTTTTTGCTCGCAAACATAATCTAAATCTGCAATATTCCTTTGTTTGTATGATGGACGATTATTTGCATTATTGTATGGTTTAGGGTCCAGTTGCAATACTGTTTTATTTAGTCTTTTAATTAAAGTTATGTACATAAGTGAGGTAATTAAACTCATGCATTGATATGACATTAGTTGTTACTAGCATAACGGCTGAATCAATATTATATTGATAAAATAAAGTGGGAACGATCGAATACGACAAGTGAAAGAAATATTAATATTTGTTTAATTTATATTACAGAATTCTGGGGTAGTAAAAAACCACCCACGCAATCGATTGGCAACCTTCTTAGATATGAAGGGCTACAATAATGATGGATAATTTTGAAAGTTTTTTCCTTAGGGGTAGTG